ATTCACGCTGGCAAAGAAATTCACAGACAGCAAGTCACAGCACAAAGAGACAGAGAACCATGACAGGCGATAAAGAAATGTCACCTACAATATCACTACAGATAATGATTAACTGTAAAACTCATACAGTTTATACTGCAGTACATCTACTGCAGATTTATAAAAATCTGACTCCAAGCAAACTAGTGCAGACACCATCATTGATTATAATGGAAGCGATTTACAGTAGCTTCAATGTGTCGTAATATGCTTGTGTCTGGCGAGACTGTTATTTTTGACATAAGCAAACGTGACTAAAACAAGCAATGAGCATTAGGACATTTTAATGGTAGATTTTTTATTGGTTCCAATCCAAATTTTTTCAAATTGCAATATCACCTGTGGTGAGAACATGAAATAAATATTTTTGGAGCTGTGGTGTGCCAACCTTGCTTTCTTTTTATAGTTTACAATAGGTGAGAACCCTCATTGAGGTTTTTTTTTTGCCTGTCAGATGTGCACAATTTTTTAAAATTGTTATGAATAAATATTATTCCATTTTCCAAAAGAATAATAATTAAAATTTGAGCTAAAAGGGCAAATTATTTGTAAATAATTTTTTTCTGCCAATATATATGTACAGTATATATTAAAATTGGCGTGTGTGTGTGTGTGTGTGATTTTTATTTATTACTTATATAAATAATATATATTTATTACACTTTATAACACTTATATTTTTCTAGGCATGAATAAAGATGATTTCATTTTCGAAAGAATATTAATATTGTTTCAATGATAAATTCAGTTTTCAAATGTCTGTTTTCTTTCAGCTGAAAGGCCTTTAGTTTTCTTTTGGTTCTTCAGATTTCTTATAACAACAACACAGGCACCATTCAAGCGAACAAATTTAGCATCGCTTTTAAGCCTTTTGATTTCAGAACGGCGTGCACACAAGAGCATAGGGAAAATCTCTGTGAATGAAAGGAGACGTATGCCACGGGGAAAAGAAACACACAAACACACACACGCACACACACACGTGAACTCACTCACCTCATTCTACCTCTACGATTTCTCCCAAAAGGCTTCGTGGTTGAACGAGTGAGTGTAAAAATAGCTCAAGATGAATAGTCATGTCATCAGTGGTGGCGTCTCCTCTGACCACAAAGCACACGGACGACAGAGAACAGAGTTTTTGGGAAGAAATGAAGCGTTTAAAGCACAGGACTGGTAGAGTTTTGAATTCAATACTAAACTGATAATAATAACACTCCCATCCCATGACTTCAAATAAGATTACAGGCATTAGATGTTAATTTAATAAGCAAATATGTAGGCTATAAATGATAAAATACAAGACAGAAAGCAAACATGTCTTTTCTTTGTTTGCTTTCTGTGATTGCAAGCAGTGATAAAATATTTGACAGTTTTAAGATTGTCAGGTGATATCCATACCTGCTTGACTAATTTATAAATTATATTAATTCTATGTATTTATATGTTTTTTGAGAGGTATTTGGCTAAATATTTATATTGTATATATATATATATATATATATATATATATATATGTGCAATTTAATGATAGCATGTAAGATTTATTATACACAATATTTACTCAAAATTCACTCAAAAAACTTAATGACATCACAACGTTTAAAAGTGACATATCATGAAAATCTGACTTTTCCAGGTTTTAAGTGCTATAATCAGGTCCTCGGTGCATCTACCAACCAAGGAAACGTGAAAAAGATTAACCCAGTAACTTTGTTTTGGATGCAAATCTTCCCACATCGTGATGTAGACATGTGGGGGCGTGTCAGAACGAGCCGTTTTAGGTAGGCGTGGTTGACTCTTAACTTTTATAAAGAATATCTCTTTGTATTTGAGACTTTAGTCTTTGCAACTTTACAGATCTTCTTTATGCACCAAGAGTTTGTAACACTTCAAAGAAAAAGGAAAAATTGAAATCGCATCATATGACCCCTTTAAATTAATATGGTTTAAAAACGCATGATTTCAGCGCGATAAACATGATAATCAGAACCAAAACAGATGTTTTTAGCAGGTCCGAGCTGTAATGGCGCAGTTCTATTCTGGAAAAGGGGGATGGGACCAGCAGCTCATTTGCATTTAAAGAGACAAGCCCGAAAAACAGCGTGTTTCTGCTTCCACTCAAAATAGGCATTTTCAAAATGATATAATAAATGATCTGTGGAGTATTTTGAGCTGAAACTTCACAGACACATTCTGGGGACACCAGAGACTTATATTACATATTGTAAAAAGGGGCATAATATGTCTCCTTTAAAGGAATAATTCTCTACACATTTTAACGACAGAAAGTGAGATTATTAATTATTTTATACCATATTTACTGAAAAATATTAGAAATTGAAAATACGTATCCATTGGCTGTTTTGAGAGACTGGCTTGACAAATAGTTAAATTATATTAATTATATATTTATATTATGTCAGTGAATTCTTTAATCTACCAACAGCTCAGTGAAAATCTAAAAAACTATTTCAGCAAAGCAAAGCTTTTGAGTGCATTTTTAGTAAATATTATGTAGAAGAAATAAGAAATCTCACTTAACAAATATTACAATAATATATTAGTTAATTAAGAAGGCATGGATATCAGCTGACAATATTACAATCATACAATGCTGACATAAGTACAGCATATACTGTAAAATACAGTAAGTGAACTCTCTGTATGCTAGATGTTGTGCGATTAGAGCAGGTTCAGAGGTGTCAGGTGATCACACAGTGATCTTAATAATAAATGTGAGGTACGTGGGAACACTTCCTATTACATTTCTTCTCAGAAACCCGTAATTAGTTCATTGTAACATCTCCACAACGAGCATGAGGTGATAACTGAGAGTCTAGTTTCTTGACACACTTCTACAACTCTCTACCACTGAGAGCGAGGGGTGCGATGCTACTAAAGTCATGCGTTTGCAATGTATACAGCTCTGTTGATTATAATGGACGCGTTCTATCAGGGCTCAAAGTTTAGATTGTTAGCTTCAACATTTAGCCCTAACAACAGGAATAAAGTTACTTGTTACTTTCTGGCCTCACACAGTAATTATCAGGCATTCTGAGATGTGCATTGTCACTTTAAATGGCATGTCGGGACAGATTGGAAAGCTTTTCACTGGATTGATTGACTCGCATTCTTGAAACTCGAAATGAAGCCGCTCAGATCTATAATGCTAAATGAGCTATTCTCACGGTGCTGAATGAGACACATGATTCATAGCTGATGCGGCTGCGCTTCCTGGAACAAAACCATTGAGCCCAGCTGTTCCTGTTCTCTACATCTGGCTGATATAATAGGAGAACGACAGGAGCTATAAAGACCTTTGAGAATGTTTTACCACACTTACTCTGTGATAAACTCATGTCCTACATACTGAAATGTCCTAGGTTATGTAAATAATAATGCGACGACACTACTGAATCAAACAAAAACAAAATGTTTGGCTTGAGATAATTCAGCCTTTACTACGCTAAAAAAAAATTTCTTTAAAACGTGGGATTTCTCAGACATCCCAGTGCTTACAGCTGACAACACAATCTACAACTAAAATGATTATGAAAAACAATATATTGATACAAAAGCATTAAATAGCAGTTAAATGGTGAGTTCGCCGATTTTCAGCCAGCTTTATATTGTTAAAATGTCGGTAGTAAGTAAACAAACAATGTGTATTATTTTTCCATTTTACCTGCACCAAAATATCCCATTTATTTGTCAGCAAAAGTCTTTTGATTATTGAAGCTCCAGGGCTTTTTTTTTATACTACAGATGGTTTTATTTTTTATTTTAGTCAACTATAATAACCCATTACTTCTCACTGTAAACATGTTTTGCCTGGTAAAGGCAAAGTGTTGAAAATGCAATTTCAACTGGAAGAAAAATTGAGCTCATATATTGAAATAATATTTATTTCTAAAATTGATACATAAATAATATTAAATATTTATTACACTTTTCTTAACTTTCTTCGCCACAGCACTGTTTTTTTCAAGCATTTAGTACCGATTTCTTTTTTTTTTTTTATTGTTTCTACTGCATAGACAGAATTACCCCTTTATTAGCATCTGTGCTTGTGTAAAAATTAGTGACTGATCACATAACCAATGACTATTGAACGCAGGTTGATGTAAAAATGTCTGAAAGTGCAATCAATCAGCGTTCGCTCTCCACACATGACGTTATCAAATCAATGATGTCAATGCAAATCAGTTCAGAAACCACATGCAGCAATTTTCAAGACAGGCATTTGCTTTAGGCTACTTTCCATACAGTTTGTGTATTAGATAAAACAGTCTCAGTTTTCAATCCATCCCTATTGAAGATTTCATGCACATTAAGAACAAAATAAAGTGGGGTTAACTATATTTGGTGTCATGAAAAGATGATTCTCCAAGGGCTGATTCACTCTGGCAAAACTGAATTCCTAACCGCACATGAATGACATTATTTCAGTTTAAAACATAAAAACCTTCCTGTTTCTGTTTTCTGAAAGCATGCACACTGGATGTCTAACAAAAGTACAGTGCCATTGAAAACATCATTCCACTAAGCCACTTTTATCCATCATGTTCGTTCACCACCTGCTTTGAGCATTTCAGACATTTTGAGTCACACTGACTCATATGTTTGCGCCAAACACACCAAATATGGAAAAGAAATGTGATGCAACATAGTGATTTTTATTTAGCATGTTGAGTATGAGTATCTTGTCATAGAATAGTTTACCAATTACATTAAATAAAGCAAAAAAGCAATGAAATTCAACACCCTAGGCCATTCCACTACATGAATAATCATGCACAAGACAAGATGTACTATTTACTTTTGAGAAGGAGAAAATATCAAGCTACAAATTGTTGGCATTTGTCTAATTTAGTGGATTGCATCCCACCAGTTGAGAAGCACCGACTTGATTTCAAGCTACACGGCTAGTCTAGTGAAACCTGCTGCCTAGGCCAACTCACCCATATCTGCAGTTTGATTCTCTTGTCGTTCTTGTAGACGGTTTTGACTTTGAAATCGATGCCCACCGTGCTCACAAACGCTGATGTGAAGGAGTCGTCAGCGTACCGGAAGAGAAACGACGTCTTTCCTACACTGCTGTTGCCGATGATCAGCAGTTTGAACATGTAATCGAAGTTCTGGTCAGATCCTTCTTTCTGTGTCGCAGCCATCTGGAACAAGAAAAGACGCTTTCAAACAAACAGCTTCGGCAACACAGATGTTAGTGCTGGGCGGTATACCGGTCCATACCGAATACCGGTGTTTATTTTTGTTATGATATGAATTTTTAAAATACCGTAATACCGGTGTATGTCGCTTAAACAACGTTCGGAACGCGACACTGTTTGAAAGGGGTCCCTTTTCACTGTTGCACTGTGGTGAGGGAACAGCTGTATGTGTTACTAAGCGTGAAAGTTCTGAAACTGAAGCTGTAGAACTAATAGAACGTGATGACACAGAAGAACTCATCCACAATATCCACATTGACCGCCACAAATATCCACTGCCCCCTGCCATCAGCTCCCGCGTCTCACACACACACGAGCGTGACTTTAGCACTAGATTTAGCAACTTTCATACCCTTTTAGCGGATTTTTCCCATAGAATATTCATACTGACAAACCTAGCGACTTTTTTGGATAAACCTTAGCTATGGTTCAGTTGGAAGATTTCGCCAGTGCTGTCCCGCGAACGCGAGGTCTGACTTTCCCGGAGAAGTGTCACCTCTCTCGGCGTCTGTTCTGTGCAGTGAGCGGCAGAGAAGCAGTGCACCGCAGCCGACTCGTCAATAAATGAGTACAAAACAGCGTTTCTTAGCACCTGTCGCTTACTGATTGTTTGGAATTATAAATTTGAGCGTAGTTTGTCTGTTAATATCACATGCACTTTTTTGTTTGTTGTTTTTTTAGATTGTTTCTCAGACGCAGGCAGTGCGCTGCATGAGACAACAAAGTAATATAGCCAAAACAACCGCATAGCCGCTCTTTAGTGTAGATGCATGTTGATTTTATCAGACGATGCCGCGATTATAAATGAGAGTGACTCCTGGTTAACATGTATTAAAAGGGGTCGTGTTTAGTCACTATTTAGTGTGGTATTTTTTGACAATATTCACTCATCATGACAGTAAAATAGGGCATTCTAAGTCAATATACTGCAGTATTTCCTCTCTCAATCAGTAGAAAATATGGTTAACACCCGGTCATGCATGAAAAAAAATACCGTCATGTACCGTGAAACCGGTATAATTTTGAAAAATACCGTGATATACATTTTTGGTCATACCGCCCAGCACTAACAGATGTGCATTTTATCTGCACCAATAAATCTTCAAAAGCTCATCGCTATATTTCATAATAGTGGACACTAATCAAGCCGTTTCAACTGAAGACTGAAGGAGGTCAGATTTTTAAACTAACAGTTTCAAAACAATAAAAATCCAACACTAAACTGTTATTTATTGACAGAAACACTTGGATTAATTAAAGTCATTTGATAATACACTGTTATTATTTTTAATGACTGATGTTATGTTTGTTTAATTGTCTGCTAACCAATGTAGAAACATATTTTAATTTCTGTCTTTTTAAATACAATTATAATCATTGGACTAGAATATAATTATGAATAACAACACTAATAATAATTATAATCTACAGTATTTACACTTTTTTGTAAACTAAATTTGTACTGTGTTACATGTTTTTTTTTGCAATCTAAATATAAAAAAATTATAAATTGTAAAAATGTTAATTTAATGTCATATTAATCATTTTTACTGTAATATCGGATCTACTACTCCATGCGTATCTAAGGAATAACTGCAAACACCATAACATTGTATATTTTGTATTTATAATGTATATTTATGTATACAAAATATAAAAAGTGCAATGGTGTTTGCAGTTATTCCTTAGATATGCATGCAAAGCTATTAGTAGATCCAGTATTACAGTAAAAATGTAATAATTATTTAGGTAAACCGATTATAATTATTTGAAAATATAATCAGACCTAAACCTCTTTTCTTTTTTTAAATATACTTAAAAAGGGTATAAAAAAACATTTGACGTGGTTTAAATATCAGCAAAGACAAAACTTGTGAATTGGCTTTGAAAAGTACAGGCCTATTAAACTTGCTTCTACACATTACACGTGCAAAACAAACTACATGTTTTATCACTACATACAATAAAACACACATACCACATTTCATTTAGGGTTGACATTAATCAAATTTGGAGCTTGTTTTTGGCTGAAATAACCTAGAAAATCATCCATAAAACCCATCCTCAAACACCATCTTAAAAATACAGTCGAGCTGACAATCATTTAATTATGATAATGATCAATGTACAGAGAGGAAGCGATTTAAAGCTATAAAATGCTTTAGTACAGGAATATTCCCCCAACCCCCACATTACAGAGCGTTAGGGTGTGTTTCCATCAATAACAAATAAACATTTTATTCACCCTTATGTTTATTTGTCGATAACGACAGGTTTAATCTGGTTGAGAACGAGGTTATTACGTTACAACAATCAATTGTGGTATATTTCGCCTTATATTCTTTTCTATACAATTCGGAAATGCTCAGCAGAACTGGAATTACAATGAAATAACTTCATATTATAAAGTCAAATATGGCAATAAAAGCTTTAAAAAAAAGACAAGTTCAAACCTGCATGGATCCGTCCTGACGCATCCTACCGAAGCCCGAAGATTTGGCACGATAATTCAGTCGGTTCCCGGTGATGCTCGAATCTCTCCGTGTCCTCTGAGCATCAGCATCAGTCGCCAGAGACCGCGCTCTGACGCGCCCGGCCGTGCCAACGTCACTCATTCGCGCTTGCTGCTGGGAATTGTAGTTTTCTAGAAAAGAGCGTTCAGCTGTTTGTAGTCCTTAAACCCGGAACACACTTGGCGTTTTCGACGGATTATCACATTTCCAGCTTTTGATGTAGAGTAAAATAATATTCTTATATAGCAGCGCGTTAGCAATTTATTTTTTTTATTAAAAAACAAAACAAAAACAAAAACTGAGTTTTCACAATTCACGTTTGAGGTAGGCTAACTATGCTGTAGAACAACAAACCGCTCCAAGTCATGTTAACAACAGACCTTGCTTTATTCAAATATCCAAAACGTTTAAATCAGCATTCAAGATGTATATAAGTTATGTATAAATAAATATTATAGTTATACCTACATAAATAATAGGGCCTATTTAACTTGAGATTTAAGAAATAAATTAGACAAAATTAAGTGCTCTACAGATTTTGTTTCTTGCATTAAAATAGATTAATATCCTACTGGATTAAAAAATAATAATTTAGGCCTAATCAGTTTTTCAGTTTATTCTGCAGGATTGTTTTTTTTTTTTTTTTTGGGGAATTATAGTAGGAAATATTTTAGATTCTTTAAATGGTGAAACCAATGATTTTTAACAGGTTTATATAATTATGTTTCCTACGATGAAAATAGAAAGTCCAAAGGGCAGATCGATCTCTTAAAGGGGTCATATGATGTTGCTAAAAAGAACATTATTTTGTGAACTTTTATAAAGAATATCTCTTTAGTCTTTGCAACTTTACAGATCTTCTTTATGCAACAAGAGCTTGTAACACTCCAAAGAGAAAGGAAAAATTGAAATCATATGACCCCTTTAAATCTCATTGGTTTGGTATCCGTCAATCGTTTTAATCTGGAAACCCTGAAAACCCCGGCATGAAGTAGGTTAGACAAAAATACTCAAATATGTGAGTTAAAAGATGGCCTACTTTAGTGTCCTTGGCAGATTAATATTTAGATTTTGCTCAATATTTCAGTGTCTCGCCCTAGAACGTCTGTCAGCGGTATCGATTGAGATGAGGCGTGTGTAATAGTTTGTAACAGTGTAACAGTGTTTCAGTTTGATTTCATCTTCACTGCGCCATTTAGAAACATTTACAGGCATGTTTAAAACGCACAGATGCTTCGTTCACCCTGTCGAGCACGTTTTGTTTGTTTGCTATGGTCTGCGGTCATTTGAAACATGAGCTGCGAGTTCCTTTTTCTGTCGGATTGTTGCAGCAGCGCGACCTCTACTGGCAGCTCCGGTGTAAGCGCTATTAAATGTCATATTGCCCCTTTATGGACTAATCGACCTATATATTATTAAAATATTTAGTCTGCATAGAACAATGGTGATGTTTTTTAGTCAGAGCAAATCGAATTTTAATATAGTTATCAATAAAACATCAATAAAATAAAAAAAAAAACTAAATTTCTTTAGTATTTTAAGGCTTTTGCAAATCTCTGGCAAACATTTAATCATTGGATACATTATATGAACCTGAATTTATATAAGTGTAAATGTATAAAGCAAATCTAAAGGAATGCTAATAATAATTCCAATTATTATTCCAATATTTCAACACGAATACTAAAAATTCAATAGTGGATAAACTGAAAAACAGATTCAGTTTTGAGAAGCAAGATGTAATTACTTCCATTAGTATTACATTAGTACATTAGTATTAGCTTCTAATTCTAATTTACATCCTATGAACAATACAACGGATACTTGTATGTTGGCCATGATATGCTTTACAGTGCTGATATATGTCCTGCTATTGAACACATTTCAGTATGGAGGACTGTATCGAGGTCATCCTCGAGGAGCACAGCAGCAGGTGGCTCAGTCATCAGCAGTCCAGCCCCAATGTCACCTTACTGATCGGATCTGCCTTCGCTGGAGTCTATGGCCTCTGGTCCATGTTCTGTATGCCTGGACTGAGGGACCCTTTCGGACTAAAGGTGCTTTGACTTTCTGCACATTTCTCTCTTTAACAGAGAGAAGTTGAGAGAAGCTAGGGAAGCTGAAAAGGTCTGGTATGATATTCTCCCTGGTGCCATTTCAACAAAAGAACAAACTCTAAATGTTATCAAGCTTCTAGAAGGACGCAGAGGCTATCTGGCTGACCTGGGATCAGGCGATGGATGTTTGGTAAGTCAGGGATGAAATGGCAGGCTTTGGAGCTTATACTAGATGAATGTGCAACATTTCATGTATTAACTTTCCTGTTCTGAAATGCAGGTATTTGCAGCAGCGTCAATGGGATTTCAATGCACTGGTTTTGAAATAAACTCCATATTATTGGCCTGTTCAAGGAGTAAAGCATGTTGGCGTGGCATACACACTGATATTCATTTCGTTAAACAGGACTTCTGGAAGGTAAGCTTTATACGTATGTATTTCAATTATTTTACATTATGTCAAACATGTCTATAGCTTTTCTTACTGCAGCTCTTTTATATTTCAGACGGATCTGTCCAAATACAGAAACGTGTTTCTGGCTCCTGCAGTGGTATGTTGCTGGATTGCCGTGTGGGGGGCGCTATAGGATCGTATAATGAATTTTCTGTCTTTTATCTACTTGCAAATCCCACATGCATTTAAGTATTTTCAATTTTATAAACTGCTCACCCTTATTTTGTGTCCTCGCTTGCATTCGAACATGCAAGTAAGCTTCAATATTATATAATATATTATAAACAAAAAATATAATTTTTATAACATTTATTAATTTTAAGTTAATGTATAAATATGGTATTGTTCATTCTTAATTCATGATGCATTGATTATCTTAATATAAGAAAATAGCAATTGACATTAATAAATGATAAAAAGTTATTAACTATTGCATTAGTTATTGTTAATGAATGTATTGTAAATTGTTAAAGTATCATTTAGATATTATAATCAGTTATCATTTAGATACTATAATTCCGTTTTAATTTTAGCTATTTTAGTACATCAAGTTAAACTAAATTAAAAATGTAGCTGAAAAATTCATTTACATCATGCATTTA